GAAATGTCCTACAGGTTAACTATGAAGGTATTTAAAATGGCTGTTCAGTTTTAACAGATAGCTAGAATCTGAGACGTTGACTTAGTCTCTCATATGACTGGTCCCGATCTAATGAAGAGGACAGATATTTTATCGTGGGAATTAGAATAACCAGAATGGATAAATTAGTTTTCGAAATATTTGAATCTATAATCATTCAAAAGTTAAATAAATTTCCTAGAGAGAAACCCCCACCCCAGGAAAAACAGACTAGTTTCAGACATGGATGTGTAGAAATAAATTCCGCCTGTAGAACCTTCGGGGCTACTGTCGGTCCCATCAGTGCCGATGGCCCAGTGACTGACGAAATCTCGGCACGGATACAAGAAGCTCGATTGGCTGAAACAAAAAAAGCAGGTCAGTAGATGAAGTTTCGAAACTTTATCAGTTGGGGTGGTTGGGACATGTGTCGTGTATGATTAACCACCAACTGCCTCGTTGAGCTAAGTTTTGCGATATAGAAATAGGTTGGACGAAAGCTAGGGGCAGCCAGACCAAAACATGGCACAATTCAATGAGGTCACTGACAAGTGAACTGAGTGATGTCGGTAGGTGTCGACTACCTGATTGGTGCCCGCGAGATGATAATAATCGATGGTTAGAGACCCTGGATAACAGATTAAAACCGCTTGCAATGGCGCAGGTTAATTTACTCTTTGTGTTCTCTGAAATTCTAACCTTCTGAATTGATCATCACCTCTCTCTTTCTAAATTTACCTCACTGAATTATACTTCTTGAATAACATCTTCGAACCCTAATCTCTCCGATTACTTCTAATACTTTTTCTACCTCTACTACTATGGGATTTGAAGTGACAATTACATATCTGTGCTAACGTGATATGGCAACTTGAACTGCTGTACTTAAGTGCAAAGTTCTATGTTGCTGTTTATGATGACTGTCGGTCCCAAGCCCGGATATAGGAGAAGGGTTTGGTGAACTCGTCCCACAAATAACTAACTTGTTAAAAAACGCCAACGCGAAAAAAAATAATTGAAACCATATAAACTCTGCTCTAGGAGTTAGAACGTCTTCATTTAGAAGAGTTATGAAGTCTCATGATGAAAGCCAAGTTCCTTCGGAAGTCATGAGGCTGATGCCCGTTCTGACAACCAGAACCCTTACACGGCGTGGGCAGCCGGGAAGTAACATCCACTCTCACACCCAGTAAAGCACACGACATAAAAATGGTCCCAATCAAATCCCTTCTACACCTAATAACTCCCTTATCTCCTCAACCAACCCATCTTTTAATCGTTTAACAGCTCGGGCAACTGAAGCGAACGGTTTGAGCTCACGAAATATTATTCCCATTCTCCTGAAAACCCGTATAAAATTACATAGTCGAGCTTTTTATATTCGAACCCTAGGCCGAATAGGACAACAGGCTTCAATAGAAGGAACTCTGGAATCCCGGGCAATCGATGTATGTCGCATCTCCGAAAGGCAAGAAAGAAGCCGCGGATCACAGAAGCATCCACCAATCTGATGGATGCTCGAAAGCTCATCCCTCGTGGCTCTGATCACTATGAAGAGCGGAGTCAGATCAGGCGCATGCTGATAAGAAGCCTTCGCAATGATCGAGAACAGTGGTGGGTAGCGAAAGCAATGGAAAAGGCAGCGGCAATAAGAAACAGTAGATAACTTTTCCGCCTTAACAAAGAAACCGGTATTAGAAATCCATCTGTTAGCGAAACTATCTCAGAAAAGGATGCGCTTAAGATTCATTCTCAAACCAGGAGACTGGATCGATGGACAGAACACTTTAGGGATCAATTCAACTGGCCTTCAGCCACACTTCGGTTGCCCACGATCTCCAGTCATCCTGAATGGTAAATCAATATAAGTCTTCCGACTCTTTACGGAGTTGAGAAAGCTATAGGAAATCTAAAGCGAGGGCGAGCTCCAGGGTCTGACAGGCTCAACCCTGAGATTTCGAAGGATGGTGGCCCAGTTTAAGCAACCAGATTGACTGAGATCTTAGGTACAATCTGGGAACTGGAAGTAATCCCATCCGACTGGTCTCAATCACTGATTGTCCCAATCTATAAGAAAGGACAGAAGTCTTATTGTGACAATCACAGGAGAATAAGTCTAACTAATATAGTTTCTAAATTGTTAGACTCAATTATACTTGGACGCCTAACTAGAGCTTGTGAAGAGCAGACTCGAGAAAACCAGTCTGGTTTTCGACCTGGATGTGGTTGTATGGACCACATCTTCACACTGCGACAGGTCCTGGAACACAGACACACATTTAGGCGTCCTACAATAGTTGTCTCCCTGGACCTTAAGGCGACATTTGACTCAGTGGATCGTGAGGTTCTGTGGCAGTGTCTGTCATTGAAAGGTGTACCAAGTCAGTCAGTCAGATGCAACGTAGAACTTCGTACACAAGTACATCAGTTCATGTCGCCATACCACATCAGCACAGAGAAGTAATTGTCAATTCAAATCCAATAGTAGAAGAGGTAGTAAAGGTATTGGAAGTAATCGGAGAGGTTAGGATGAGAAGATACTATTCAAGAAGTATGATTAAATTAGAAAAGTTTAGAAAGTCAAAACTAGAGGGGTTGAAGAATCCAGAAGATTAGCATTTGAGAGAACACAAAGAATAAATGCACCGGCGCCATTGCGAACGATTTTGAGCCATATCATTCAAGGTCTCTAACCATCGATTATTATCATCTCGCGGACCCCAACCAGGTAGTCGACAATTACCGATATGGCTCAGTCCACTTGTCAATGACTTCATGGATTTATGCCATGTTTTGGTCTGGCCTCCCCAGCTTTCTTCCTACCTATTCCTACACCACAAAATAAAGCTCTTCGAGGCAGTCGGTGGTTCGGCATACGCAACACATGTCCCAACCACCTCAACTGATGAAGTTTCAACACTTCATCGATTGATCTGCCATCCTTACCTAGTACTCGTTTCCTAACGACAGCATTGCTCACTCGGGTGTCCCACGGTATACGAGCAATGCTTCGAAGACACCTATGATCGAAAACCAGTAACCTACGAATATCTTCTACTCTCACTGGCCATGTTTCACAGCCATATAGGAGAACGGAGCGAACTGCTGTGCAGTACACTCGTCCTTTGATGAGAGAACGGATATCATGCCTACGCCATATGTGACGCAGGTTGGCAAAAGCCAGTCGAGCCTTCTATATCCGAGCTGAGATTTCGTCTGTCACCAGACCATCGGCACTGATGAGACTCCCAAGATAAGTGAAGCGGTCTACACGTTCGACTACTTCACTCCCTATCACTAGTTCAGGTGCCGATGCAACCCAATCTTGAAGCAACATTTTGCATTTCGAGGGTGAGAACCGCATCCCGAAAATGCTTGCATTGTTGCTTAGGGTAGTCAGAAGACTCTGCATTTTGTCAGCATCTTCACCAAGTAGGACATTGTCATCGGCATATTCTAAGTCAATAAGCGAGCCACTTGGTAGAAGGTCTACTCCTGAAAATTCAGACGAGGATAAAGTTATTTCTAGGAGCATGTCTATGATAAAATTAAACAAGAATGGAGAAAGTGGACATCCCTGACGGACACCACTTGATGTAGAGAATTCCGGTGACAGTTCGCCATAAGCTCTCACTCGACCAGTGGTGTTCGAGTAGAGAGCTTGTATAAGGTGTACCAAAGAAGTACATTAACCTTATACAAGCTCTCTACTCGAACACCACTGGTCGGGTGAGAGCATATGGCGAACTGTCATCTGCATTCTCTACATCAAGTGGTATCCACTCTCCCCATTCTTGTTTAACTTTGTCATAGACATGCTACTAGATATAACATTATCCTCGTCAGATTTTTCAGGGGTGAACCTTCTACCAGCAGAATTGCTCATTGCCCTAGAATATGCCGATGACATAGTTATATTTGGTGAAGACGCTGACGAAATGCAGTCTCCCGACCACCCTAAGCAACAATGAAGAGCGTTCGAGATGCGATTCTCCCCGTCGAAATGCTGCTTCAGGATTGGGAGTGAAGCAGTTGAGCGTGTTGATCGCTTCACTTATCTGGGGAGTCTCATCAGTGCTGATAGCCTGGTGACTGACGAGATCCCAGCACGGATACAGAAGGTTTGATCGGCTTTTGCCAACCTGCGTCACTTATGGCATAGGTGGGATATCCGTTTGCGGACTAAGGGACGAGTGTGCTGCGGGCTAGTCCGCTCCGTCCTACATTATGGCTGTGAAACATGCCTAGTAAGAGGAGATATTAGTAGGTTACTGGTTGCTCGTGTTTCCTAGTACAACCGAGTAAGCAATGCTATAGTTAGGAAACGGGTCCTAGGTAAGGATGGCAGGTCAATAGATGAAGTTTCGAAACTTCATCAGTTGAGGTGGTTGGGACATGCATTGCGAATGCCTAACCACTGACTGTCTCGTCGAGCTCTGTTTTGTGGTGTAGCGGTAGGCTGGAAGAGAGCTATGGGCGGTCATACTAAAACATGGCAGAAATCCATGAAGTCACTGACAAGTGGATTAAGTCATGTAGACTGATGTAGACTAACTGGTTGGTGCCCGCAAGATGATAGTAAGTGTTGGTTAGATACCCTGAATGATATGGATTAAAACCGTTTGAAATGGGCAGATGCATTCATTCTTTGTGTTCTCTCAAGTCCAAACCTTAGGAATTCCACATCACCTTTATATTTTTAAGTTTGTTTCACTAGATTATACTTCTTGAATAATATCTTCGAACCGTGATCTTTCCGATTATTGCCGATCCTTTCAATACCTCTACTACTATGGGATTTGGAGTGACAATTACATATCTGTGCTAACGTGATATGGCAACTTGAACTGCCGTACTTACGTACGAAGTTCTACGTTGCTGTTGATTGATTGATTGTGTAGATATGGGTCAATTAGTTATGCTATGTTTTGGAATAGGAATATTTACGAACAAATGAAAGCGTTTTTCGTATTTTTTTTATTGAAAGACGTACCACAGGAGTACATAAGCCTTATGAAGGATAAGGTAACACTAGCAGAATCAGAAGTCATGACAAATTTATGAGAATTGGTAACGTTAGGTAGTAAACTTACGAAAAAAAACAGATACGAAATCTATACGCAATTGGTTGGTAAAACAATGTGTGCAGAAATCATAAAACTGTACGTGAATAAGGAATAATTGAATGTACATATGTTACAAAAATCAAAATACACAAATCATTCACCATAGATAAATATTAGGGAGGTAAACAATTGATAGATACAAAAACAAAAAGATTAAAAACACAATGTCATCACTATTATTGTATTCGTATAAAAATATAATCACCATTTTCTAAATTATAAAATCCTATTTCACGTGTATCTATATCCAACGGTATTTCAGTGTTAACAATATCACAATGTCTTCCACTTTGTGCAAATAAGGCAAACAGTGTTTTTGGTGATAAACAAAACAATCGTCTAATCATCATACGTAAATGTTTAATAGTCATTCGATTAGGTATTTGCTTTTCAATTTGATTATTTTTATTCATTGGCGATGATAAGTGATCACTAGACTTGTCTATTGTGTCATCGTTCTTGTCACGTTGTAATACAAAGATCAGAGATAGTAGACTAGCTTTAATTGATCGGTTAATGATCTGAAAATTAGATAGATAGATAGATATTTAAACGATAAAGATTAAAAAATTTAGTAAAAAACTGAAATGATGAGAAGTTATTGTTAGGTTTGTCACACTACTATTATTCTTAAATGTTGATACATGGATAATGGTAATCAGGGCAACAATCAGATTGAGGTGGACAACCTTAAGCAACAATTGGAGATATATAAACCAGTTCGCATTTCTTATGAGTAGTCGCCGTTATTAGCCCCGGATGGGCTACACTGAAGAACAACGAACCAAGTGGGTAGAGACATTTAAAGAACTCTTGAATCGAACAGCTCCTCAGAACCCAACTAACAGCGAAGCACCATCCACTCATCCCAATCGGTGTTGGCCCAACAACAATTGAAGAGACTTGCATGGCCGTCAGACAAATCAAGAGCGGCAAAGCAGAGGGGCCAGACAACATTTCAGCAGAGGCAATGTAAGCAGACGTAGCAGCAACTGCAAAAATGTTCCACACTCTCTTCAAAAAGAAGAACAAGTACCACCAGATTGGAAAGAAACATACCTCATCAAAATACCAAAGAAAGGCGATCTCAGCAAGTGTGAGAACTACGGAGGTATCACTCTTCCCCCAATAACAGGCGAAGTCTTCAACGGGTGTTTTTAAATAGAATGACGGACTTCGTAGACACAAAACATCGAGATAAACAGGCTGGATTCAATAAGGATTGCAACATTACGGATCAATGTGGAACAATCAATTGAATGGAACTCACTACTCTACATCAACTTCACTGACTACGACAAAGCATTCGATAGCGTGGACAGAACAACACTATGGAGGCAGCTTCGATACTATGGTGTACCTGAGAAAATAGTCAACATCATACAGAATTCTTACGATGGACTTAACTGCAAAATCGTGCACAGAGGACAGCTAACAGACTCGTTCGATGTAAGGACCGGTATCAGGCAAGGTTGCATATTTATTCTCACCCTTTCTCCTGGTGATCGACTGGATTATGTAGACGGAAACATCTGGAGGCAAGCATGGTATACAGTATACAGCCAGGATGTAGCTCGACAATTTGAACTTTGCAGACGATCTGTCTCTTTTGTCTCACACGTAACAATAAATGCAAGAAAGCATGACCAGGGTGGCAGCAGGTCTTAATATACATAGAGAGAAAAACAAGATTCTCCAATACAGCACTACATGCATCAACAAATTACTCTTGATAGAGATACCTTGAAGGACTTTACATATCAGGGCAGCATCATTGACAATCAAGATAGATCCAATTCAAATATAAAGGCTTGGATTGGCAAAGCAAGCGCGGCATTTCTAAACCTGGACAACATCTGGAACTCAAGACAACTGTCAACAAACACGAAAATCAAGATTTCCAATACAAATTTCAAGACTATTCTACTGTAAGGGGCAGAAACTTGGAGAACTACCAAAACCATCATCCAAAAGATAAAAGTATTCATTAACAATTGTCTATTCAAAAATACTTAGGATCCGTTAGCCAGACACCATCAGCTCCGTTCTTAAAGGCCCTTAGTGGGCACCCTTACCCAAGGAGACGGAAATCCGTGAGGTAGGGGAGGTGTGACATTTTTAGGGTCGACCTTTTCTAACCCTTCCTTCCTTGTGAGAAGGCTGCTGGTTGTCTGAGGGAAACAACTTACTGCTGTCACACCCCTCTGCAGTCAGCAGTACGACTTCTCCCTCAGACCTTGGGTAGCTGCTTTTAGTCTCATCGTTCTCCAATCGACCTGTCTGGCATGGTAGAACCTTGAGGAACATATGTTCCAGCCAGTATAGCTCGGTTGGGTCATCACGATAGGCAAGCCCGATTCCAATGGAGGAGGAAATCAGTAAGAAGCGATGGAAGTGGATAGAACACACACTGCGGAAAGCATCTAACTGCGTAAAAAGACAAACCCTCTAGGCAAAAGGAAAAGCAGAAGGCCAAAAAGCAGGTTACGCCGAGAAATTGAAATAGATATGAGAAGAATGAACAAAAATTGGAAAGGGAAGCCCAGGACAGTAGGTTGGAGAATACATGTCGGCGGCCTATGCTCTATTGGGGGTAACAGGAATAAGTAAGTAAGTGAGTCCACGTTATTGGAATGTTCCAGTTTAGTTTATCAAACATTTAATTCAGATCAATACAAAATTAAAGATGCGTTCATAATGAATTATACAGTTACATAGTACTGATTATATATAAATAATACAAGAGTATTGTCAGTTTTTCTCTTTTACTAAACCGACTTGAACAATACTTAAGTAGCAATAAAAAGCCTTTAGTCAGGAAATAAAAATAAATGTTGACTGATTTAGATTTTTTAATCCCTGATAACAATAGAAACTAGAGAGATTGATGGTTATGTTTTTTGAAAATAAACTTGGATAATGAATTAGTTTATTTGTTAGCCTATTTCAAACCCACTATGAACTGATAATGTTTCGACTTGGCATAAAATCCCGTGCATTTAAATTTAAAATAAACTCATTTGTCAAGTAGTTTGGTATTGTATAAGTGTGGAGGTCAGTGATAAAACTCAGTGGCACAAGCCGAAGTAGGTGAAATAGGGTCCTAGTATTGTGTCGGTAAGTTTATCTAAGAGACTTTAGGGAAATTCAAAAAATTAATAGATTAGTCGCTCAGTCAGTCAGTCAGATGCAACGTAGAACTTCGTACGTAAGTACATCAGTTCATGTTGCCATTGAACATCAGCACAGAGATATAATTGTCAATTCAAATCCAATAGTAGTAGAGGTAGTAAGGGAATTAGAAGTAATGGGAGAGGTTAGGGTTAGAACATACTATTCAAGAAGTATGATTCAGTGAGAAAAGTTTAGAGAGTCGAAACTAGAGGTGTTGAAGAATCCAGAAGATTAGGGTTTGAGAGAACACAATGAATAAATGCACCGGCGCCATTGCGAACGATTTTGAGCCATGTCATTCAAGGTCTCTAATCATAGATTATTATCATCTCGCGGACCCCAACCAGGTAGTCGACAACTACCGACATGGCTCAGTCCACTAGTCAATGACTTCATGGATTTCTGCCATGTTTTGGTCTGGCCGCCCCTAACTTAGTCGCTAAAATAAGTTATTTTTGTAGATTGTGACTTGAAATGCAAACTGATTATGCGCTTTGTCCAACAGAAACTTACTAAAGCAAAGTTGTAACCAAGTAATTCGACAAAAGATTTATAGTTTCCGCACAAATAAATTAATCGAAAAAAATGCAGAAATTCAAAATTTAAACATCGAAATTAATGCATAATTGAGTTATTTCAAACAATCAAGTCATTATTTAATAATAAAAGTTGTAATGCCTTGAAATTTATCGTTCAATTTTACATGAACTCACATAGTTTGTTTGTTAGAGATGTCAGATACCCAGAACTCACTTGATGAAGGTCCTATTTTTGGATTTTGTTCGATTTGTGTGCTTAAAAACCTCATAATTTCTAGGTGCTTGTAGAATACACTTTCTACGCCATATCAAGACTTCTTTCTTTAGATAGACGGGGGAAACGGATTAGAGTAGCCTATCGTGTCACTGGATCATTTGTCTCGCTCTCGTTTACCGACTAAGGTGAACTCGTAATAGTTTCAAGCATATCAATTGTCAAGCATAACATTCTTGTAATTTAATTAGGTACTAAAGAAAAATTCAATACAGTCATAAACATTTCAGATTAATTAAACAGCCTGATCGTTTGCTGAAGCTTCTAAACTATACGACATTTCGCTAATCGTTGATTATATTAGACGACGATGGTCTTCCAACTGTTTAGTTTAGTTCATTTTTTGTATTAATCTCCTCCATGAACTTAGTTTTTGTATGATCAACTTAATTATTCGATCATGTAATAAAAGCCGTCTGGAAAGACTAAGTCAAAGATAATAATATGCTACCTTGGTTTCGCCGATTTCCGGAGCTCCATGTTTATCACAAAGTGCAGCAAAAACTGGATGTAGTTTGTAAAATTCATCCAAAAGTTTAACACTGTTAGGTTGCTCACTACTTTGATCGGTTTTACAACAATTTAACCAGCTAGCTCCATACCGTTTTAGATAGTCCAATTCAGCTCCACGGCGCTCTTCAGGAGTAATCTCAACACGATCCAACAATTTAAGATTTGGCAAACGGGCAATAACTTCCTGACGAGCGGTTTCTACACTGCAAAAATATGAATAGATAAAGAAGTATGGTACGAGCAAAACCCATTTATTAGCGGTTGAAATATTGACACCAAAGTAGAAATGAGAAGTGAACTAAAACGAAAAATTACTTTTATAGCTGCAAAGCCATGAAATCATAAACTTTTACAGCTACAGGAAAAGTAAAAATAGACAAGCGGAACAAGGTCAAGTAGACAAACAGCGACAAACGTTAACGAGATTACATAGAATTACTGCATATGATTGATTTTTGACTGTTTGATGGATCGGCTATAGTCACTAAAATGCAACGTAGAATTTGGTACGTACGTACATTAGTTCAAGTTGCCAAACTAAATCGCATAGTAGAGGTAGTAAATTATGTAAATCAATGAAATAAAAAATATCATAAAGAATCCATAAGTTTAAAATTTAAGAGGATAAGAAAGAATAGAAGCCCATGTGCCAGTAAAAAATATTTTACGCCACGTCATTTAAAGTCTTTAACCACGAGTTCAATTCTTGTCATTATTAAGCTTTTCTTGGATTATTTTCAATCCAAAATGTTAATTCATTTTTGTGAAAGATTTTCTCATGCTTCAATGAGACCAGGTATTTTTTAAATATCAAATTAAATGGGTGATCAGTGTGGTTATTTACTACAACTAGAAGCTATTAAGTGTTAATTTTACGGAATAACTTAAACTTGTAAGATTATGGATCAGCTTTCTGAATTAAGCAGGATTTCACATTTTGGTTTCTATGAACAATCAGGCAATTTTAACTAGTTAAACAGGTTAAGAAATACCTGTTTCACAAAAAAAGTATTTTAAATAAACCATAATAACTACGAAGTTTCGTAAGAGGCGTACTATTATTATTATTATTCATTTATACATATTTTTGAACTCCATACTCTGTTAAATAATCACTACGCCGCTTGAACAATTGAAATTGTTGTTCATGACAGGATTTAGAAATATTAAAAGTATGTAAATATATTTAATTCTTCATTATTAGTCAGCAGTAACGATATGCACAACTGCCCAGTTATTAATTTAAAATTGTGTTTAAAACGTAACTGGGTGATAAACCATAAAATTGATTACAATTCTGGTAGTATATTTTTAAGCTGTGCATAAATAAACGGTTGTACATCGTAACCTCTTCATTTAAAAATATATTAGAAAAGATAAATCAGCTTAGATTCAACTACAGTAAATTTCTACTTCATGTCACAACGCTAATCGTATCTGTAAAAACAAACTTGGTACGTTTATCAGTCAGATAGAAAAGACCTACTTGACAGAATTTTCGAAAGCTGGGCATCCTGAAACCATCAAATGGTGCAATGTAGACAAACACAGTAGTTGGTTAACGAAATCCCAATTTGTGAATAAGTTATTCTTCAGGCCAAGAGTGTTGAGGTTTGGAAACCAATGTGATCTATCTTTATTGAGTGTATTTACTTCGCAGATACGCTCAGAGTGTTTACCCAGATTTGGAATGTCTGCAATTTCATTATAATTTAATAGTAGGTTGTTCAGACATTTGGAGGCTCCAATAAGAGTAAATAACTGATAAGCGGATGTTAGATTTGTGTGAGTTAAATCTAATTCAATCAACTTCTGCAAAGCTTCAATAGCATTTTCTTCCCAATCGATTGGAGGATTACCCAGCTACAATGCAATCAAGCAATGCATAAACAGGCCATAACTGGATTTTGTTTAGTTTAAAGAAGCATAAATGAAAACCATGTGCGTTAAGACTTCCAAATAACTATGTGGCAGATCTCAAGCGGTTTTACCTTAGATTTTGTGATTACATTCACAGTTTGATAAGACCTTCAATACCAATTTAATTTATTTTTAAGTCATTGAAGCTTATTAATATCTGTTTTTGTACTGAACATCACAGTGGTTCTTTCAACACACTGTCTAGATGCGAGATACTAATTAAACAACACTGATATTCAAACGAGCCAACATTGAAACAAATTTGACAATTAATTTTCATGATTATTTGTAAGTTATCAATTTAAAACTGCTTCCTAAGACTATAAAAACGCACATCAAGGTGTGAAAGCTGTTTAAAGTTTTCTGGTAATGCGGGAATTTCTCCATAATGATTTATGTACGTCTTAGTCTTAGACTGGTAAGTGATAACAGTCCCTATCGAAGCACAGAACTAAGAAGTAAATATTAACAAATTCCCAGAATTTATGAGGCTTATGACTGACATTTTCGTCATTCGAGGACAATCGTGAAACCTAATGTTGATGATCAAGTTATTTCTTGAGGATATATATAAACAGGTGGACTGAAAATATGCTTATACATAATTTAATATGAAATCATGAATTCTAGGTAATCGTATAAAAAACTAGAGGTTCGTGACCACTCAGAAATAATATATTAAGTGAAGTAGAGTTTCTGGAATTCCTAGAAGTTAGCCTACAAATAGAAAATGACCATTAACATGACAAAAAATCGTCATGATTAAACAGCAAAGAGCAAATTAAAAAATTTAAGTCATTCTAGAAGTAATGTTTACAGCGGTCTATTTAGGGAAAGATTTTTTAGTTGCAACGTAATTAGTCTAACGACACGAACACAGTAGAAAGGATGTAATGCTTGTGGTTAGCTGAAAAATATATATTACAATTACCTACTCGAAAAAGTAAAATACGAGGAAAGTAGCCACTTACATTATTGTAAGCCAGAGATAACGACTGTAAGGATGGCATCCAACATATTATTCTTTGAATACTTTTCCAATTTAGGAGACAGCATTTGACCAAAGTGAGCTGCGACAACTGGGGGAAAGCGTTTGAACACAACTGCTCACTCAGGATAGGATCCGAGTATAGATCGTATAAAAGACTAGATTCCAAGCATTCATTTTTTTGTTTGCGATGTACTCTTTTTTTAAAAACGGGCAAACGAATACGATTGTTACTGACGTTCAAGGATTTTAACCACGGAATTTGAATGCATATCTAATAAGATATACAAACACAGTTAGCTCTTGTGGAGGAAAGGCAAACAAAAAGGAAGTAAAGTGAAAACATACCTCAGCAATTTCTGTCCACTTTGACAATAAACAATTACTCATTTCCAGATTACATAAACTGGTTAAAAACTGATCGAGGCAGCCTCCAGACGATGGCCAAAGAGGTGAGCACTCAGGTTGGCGATCAGGAAAATAAATGCTTTTCCCATAAAGTGCACGATATACAGGCATCGAAGACAAACTGACACTTTTTAGTCGGTTTAGGCAACCTTTGGCTGCAGCTGCTCCACATAAGTTGTTATGAGAAGTCGACTGACGATAAGTCCCAGGACTAGTGTAAAGCTCAATTCGCACTCCATCTTTCGGGTGTCTGTGAGCATTGCTGTCTAGATATCCTAGTTGAATGCTTTCTTGGAGGGGGATCTTATCAGTACTTTCTGTAGGCTTTTCTCGTGGTCGCAAAGAGATCTGTGTTTCTGATTGACAAGTTGCGCAGACGGCATATCTATATACAAGGGCTTCTTCTAGACTGGTACCCAACGATACCTTTGAAGGCCTAAAAGCATAATGAAAAAGATAAACGAAGTTCGCCAAGTTGGAATTACAAGATGAAGTTAAATGCATCAAGTCATAATATGATAGTCGGCCGGAAATAATGGAAGTGTAGGCTGGAGTGAACTTTTTTCTGAAGAAACCGAATGTTATGATTAACATATACCGTGAAAGGGATTGCGATGTTTTTAACTTTTCAAAAAGTATAGTTGAATGCCTAGCTCACTATATACATACTTAAATTCCTAGACTAAAGATCAAAAAGTAAGGTATAAAAGTTGAATTAAATAAACAACATGAAAGAAAATAATGACATAAAGTTGATACCATAATGTGGATACTATTCAGTCGTATAAACAGTCAATACTTACCTAATGTATATGGCTGAACCGCTAAATTAATTTCGATTTGGACATGTTGACAGTATCTTAAGCAGTCGTAAAAGATGACTGCATGCATAATGCTGAACTCATTTGCAAGGTCGGATTTTCATCTTAATGATCTGAATCACAATTGCGATTAGGGACAAATGATCTTATATATCGAGATAGCTATTATACCAATTTACTTAAAGCAATCTACAGGCGTATAAAGTTGGGAGAGATAAGGGTCTAGTTTCGGTTTTTTGATGAGTAGTGAGCACTGAAAGGGTAGTTTGAGGTCTGAACGAATGTTCAGTACCGTCTAGTTTTAGAGTACACAAATGATCCATTTTTGACAAGCTTTTACCATTGACTATTTAGACCCAGTCTGAAAAAGTTTCTACTACTATATATTGTTGATGCTTTAAAATTTTCCGTTTTCGTTACCCACAACTGCTTATGTCCAATGCATAAGTTACCAGTTTGTTCTTATTCTGGTTACTTTTACTGCTAATATTTTTCGGAGTTTGTTGGGGTCTAACAATTTGCAGGCCTCTGAAATCTACCGTTACTTCCTAAGATACCGAGCCGAATACTTCTTCTAGTTGGATTTATCTGCGTGCAAAACTGACCAACCACAATTATTACTTAAGGCTTCATACAGTAGCAAATAAGATAATTCAACACAGAAAGCCATTGTGCATTTTGAAAAATGCAGTCAATGAAGACGAAGATCAGGTCGCTTGGGACCAACATCGCAAGATCTAACACATTCTGATATTTCATTCCTACTAACGTTAAATTAGTCTACGGAAAAGTTACAGCGAACTCGATAGGGCTTCTTTGACGTTTTCCAAGGTTACTGGGACTAAAGCTACATACTATACTTAGATGAAGTTCACTTTACTTGAATTACAACTTACTGAGTTTGTGAATCAGTGGGATTAAAGGAAATTACCATATAAACATAATACGTCAGAAAAGGAACAGTCCGATGAACTAGAGACTCTTAGGTAGATTCCAGGCTGGCAAAACAAAAACTAGATAACCAAAACTTGCAACAGCACATCGTGCGCTAAATACACATAACCCCTTCGAAAAGAAAAATATGCATGCACATATTTACATAAATAGGAAGCATATACTAACACACTAAACAAGATACGAATCAAATCTTAAGAAACCAAAACTAGTTCATGAGCTGTTGGATACACAGTGATATAACTCCATCACCTAATCTTAATCTACGATCCCAACCTGACTTTTAATTCTAAACGTTTTTCGTCTATATAAGCCTTATATGTTACTGCTATCATAAATTTTCTACTGCTTGAATTGCTTTCTCTCAGGGTAGTCATTATGAAACCTATTTTTTAAGACATTATTACTTACCTTATAAATGAACCGGACGTAGGACTTTTAGCTTGAAAGTAGCGGACACCATTGTAAGTTCCATCATGTCGGCCGCGAGACTGATCATCCCAATCAATTCCAAGCCAAAGCCCACTCGATTTTGGCAAATGACCAACATAGCAAATAGTCCCAAAGTTTTTGTCATGAACTACTCGCCTCCCGATAATCAACTCATTGGCTTCATTTATATTGCCACATTCCGTCCCAAGGTATACATCTTTAATCGGACTGTGCTGAACAGAGTCGTTAGAAGTGTTCCTGTATTTTGTTATAGAATCAAATGTGATCTCAAGTAAGCTAACAACTCACATGGTAACGTACTACTCAAATGCGTTCATTCCAACATCCAATATCATTTCCACAAGCTAATTTAAACGGATTGATTTCTTCGCGCTAGCTTCTTAATGTTTCAGCATGTTTCTAGGTTCATTATGCGTTAAAAAACAAGTTACCTGGAAATTACAAATATCTAATTCAAAAATATGCGAAGAAATTCATGCAGCATATTATGTTGTTTGGAACTAATGATACAATATCCAATATATCCAACATGTTTTCGAAGAGCTAGTTTAAACCAGTTGATTAATTTGTGATCGATTCCGACTCTCCTTTTGTACTTATAGGTAGTTGGTAGTGTCCAACGGATGGTAGTCTTACTACTCAGCTGCATTAATTCTGGTCACCTGGCATCTTTTATTAATTTTTAAATCCCGTGAGTTGTGTGACTGCATTTGTTTCAGGGAAGCAGGGTTTCGGGATACTAGCAGTCATTATGTTACCAGGCCGGAGATCATTTGGTCGCAATGTGGAGAATAATAAGGAAAAAACTCTAATGCTAATGAGAAGGGGAAAATTTCAGAACTAAGAAATGAATAAATTGATTAGTTAGTTGTGATAAAATAGAAGCGTAGGCACATGAAAGAAAGCATAGATAATCAGCAGGATCGAAAAAGTTAGTGATCTGAGGAAACGGAAACAATAACAACTCGCAGGTTTCGAGATATGCATCAGGCACAGCAGGTCCAAGAGGGAGATGACAATCGGTAAGTGAGTGCGTGTTAATCAAGTCTGTTCTCGAAGCTATCCATTGAGATAGCTGTGGTCACTTCGGCTGAAGAGCATTCCTAATTGCGACGAATCTTGATGAGGAAATGTGAGCACGAACTTGGGTGTTTTCTCTTTGATATGCTATGTAGTGTGCCTGAAGTACACTGTGTGGGACGGCGTTCTAAACGTTGTCTTTAACTGTTTACCAGTAGTGACTACCTCTAGCCTCCACCATTCACGTGGCCACGGCTCATGTAGAAGATGCTCTCTTCTGCACGTGTACTGAGATTTACTGTAACGGAGGTAGGGCTAGTTTTCGTCCTTACTGACTGTTTTGTTTATGACCATATTAAACCTGAATATACCATGGTCACTACTTCTTATTGATGTATGAACATGAACATCCTCCACCAGGGACTGATCATTTGTTAGCAAACAATTCAAGTTTGAGGATTTTCGTTCCTTAGTCCATCTAGTGGCGTCGTATAAATGTTCAGTCAGCCCATAACATTTAATGGCTGCGCCAAGTCCTCTCTGTAACTGACCAGTGGAAGTTGCACCCTGATTGCTGCGATTTCGAGATGGAGTGTTGGAATCTCCAGCCACGAGTATTTGACCAAATCCAATAAAGTATCTTTAGCCATTTTTGTTGAAAATACACCATAATGATTCCGTCACATCAATTATTTGGGTGCTGCATAGCCACTTTACTTTCAAACGGCTGTTAATAAAAGCAGCTGTCCCTGTGGCTCTCTGTACCGGAACAGTGTCATGCCTTGAAAGCTTACTTCGTAGTCCGCAATGTCGGAGGATGGCCATGTTTCAGTTAGGAATATGGTCTTCAAGCACATCTGAGAGCATGTATTCCTGATCTCTAACAGCTTACTCCTTAGTCCTCTTACGTTGTCATCGAGGCACTTGGTGGTTAGTCACATCACTTGGTGCACTTCTGCAGCAACAGCTGTTATCGGATTTTTAAACAGGTTGTTTAAACCGAATTGGCCAGTTCTGTGCGGACTAGCCACTACAGGTTTTTTGCTTGTGTAGTGTATTCAGTCGGCGAGACTATTATCTCCATGTCTTGTGCCATGGGTTGTTGATCGCGACCAAGTGTCATGATTATGCGCTTTTTTCGTCTCCATGTTGTTGTCTCACATATCTAGGTTGACTCTAGCAACATATAATGTGACCAGAGGGATCGTTCTTCATGCTGTACCAAGCCTGAAGTTCTTCAGTTAGGTCTTCTCGATTTTCGAAGACCAAATCTATCAGACATGAAGACTTAATAGTCATAAGATGTGACGGACGAGGCAGCTGGTGTAAGATAGTTGCTACGATGGTTTGAGAGTCCTTACTAGGTAATAACCGTCGCCGTTGTTGCAGGTCTTGTGCGTGAGCTTCATCCAAGCTAACACTAACTAGTCCGTGTACTCTGTGAACGACTATACTTATCTGCTCTTGAATGAATTCGATGACCTTGCAACTGCTCCCACTGGTCATGGATTGTCTTGTATGGCAGGGAACGGGCAAGACAGTGTAGTGGTATTCTTTTACGAAGAAAACAATCGCTGAAATGGAAACATTTATATTTGTTCTTAATTCAAACAATGATTGTTCCATTGTACTCCCTTTGTTTAACTGTACTAAATAATATCTCCCGCGCGCCAAGCATTTGATTCCCATTCCGCTTCTTTCCTTGGTTGCTGTTAGCCGCTTCTTTATTCTGATCTTGATATAATTCCGATATCACGAGGCCAGCGACAAGTATATATATGATCACTGCTATAACAGTTTACTCGAAGGTCTCTGCGATGTTAGGAGGATTTGTTCAGGAGCTACTGCCGAATCTATGGTTACCTTCAACAGAGGGGTTTCTCATTATCGTCCTTCTGACCTTTAAAAAGACGGTATAGCTTGGCAAGGTAACTAATCACTCCAAGAATTGTGCGGTGATTGTCCTGCTCTCCGTCACTGAAACATTCACTGAAACTTTTTAGTTTAGTATAACGTCCATGTTTATGGAGCTGTTGTATTTTAGAAATGAGTCATTTTTGCGCTTTTGTCTTTATACTTCAGTAGATCGCTTGGGAAATATAAACTTCTGTAGCTCTTTTTCAAATAGTATTCAGTTTACCTTTGAGTTTATACGCGAAGGAGGGTACTACTCGTTTCGGTAGTGTTCTGGCCTTTGACCAGTAAGTGAGTTGAGTTCATCGTTTATGAAGGTTTTCATATTGCCATCAGAAATAAATGATGATGCAAGGTGTTTTAACATGGGGATTATTATTTGAGTAAGGAAGTGACAAAACAATTTCAGCTTGCTTTCGGATAAAGATAAACGCAGTATGTCAAAGTGTCTCAACTGCTCGTCGTAGAAGAATTTCAAATAAACATGTCACCAAGTTAGTTATTACATACAGAACACCCTCTAGCAGTAAATAAATCCTTAAAATAAATGGTTTTCGTGCCTTTCATACTAAACTTATCATCAACAGTGTAGAATTATTTCGCCAGTGGCTGTCCCAAATGTTTCCAATAGAAACACTCCTGTACGTTCCTCCTAGTTTCAGGTCCCAGCCGAATCAAAAAAGGGCAAAATTCTAGGAGAAAACGTCTCTTTATTATTATAAAATGGAAATACAGAGTCTTACGGTATTTGTGTTTCTTCCAGGGTTAATTTACTCCGCAGAGTATCCAATACAATAACTAGTAAGTGACACTAAGTCCAGCAGCCACCGCGTCCATCCAAAAATGTGGCGGTAGCCATATTATATCAAATTTAAACAATATATGTACAGTTCAGAAGCAAACACAAAAACTTCAATATAGGTACAAATATAGAAAGAATAACAACATACAATGATAAAATCTTAAATTGGAATCAAATAAAATACCAAAAATGTCAAGAGAAAAAGTCCATCAGGTCATAGCAAAAATATGTAAACATGGAGGGATTTTCCAAAACACAAAACATTCAAAAAGAATTCTACACCGGCCCGCAAAATCCCTCCATGCAAAAAGAGCAAGCGTTAATGACACTTTATTTAGGGTTCCCATGTTATCCCCTAATCCACACCGGAATAACGTGTAGGACTTACAGCAGTACGCCTACCCGCCATCCAACATGGATATGACCTATCGTGTTAACTAGGTACCTATACTTTCCCATCAGGCCCTTGATTCCCCTATCTATCGTGGAATGACCTAACGGTAGTATAAACCTTACCCAATTAACCCATACGAACATGAACAACACGTCGCAAAACTGGTCATATCCTATCCAAGGACTACATTCTCTTTCATGGGGACGAGTTGCCAATCCACCACCACTTGCTCCGATCAGCAGATACCATGAAGTCCGTGATGCTAACTTATCAACAGAAGTTTTCGACCCATAAATAATATGCAAGGGTGAGATTTCCAATTTTGACATTTCATCGTCTCCAGAAGACCTTAAGTAGCATGACGTAGGATCAATATTTATCCTTCCATCTCCTGATGCAGAGGAGGTTTGAACAGTATTCATCATCGTCGGTAACTCATTTGTCACATCAGTGACATCCAGTTTATTATCAACGTCTAAATGATTCCGTTCTGCATTAGCATCCGTTTCAGCGGCACAAGACATATGCTCAACAATAGCATCGTCATCACACAGCACTGTAGACTGGCTGTTACCATCAAACACTTTCTTCTCATCATCACTCGACTGACAGTCAACCGTAATAGGAACAGTTACAGTTGCACAACCTTGTGCGTCTTCAATCAACTTAACCTTCGTGACGAGGTCCAATGGCGTCGAAACACTAGGAGGCTCATTCGATGAAGTTGATAAACTAGTCCCTATAAGTGAACTGCTGACACTTTCTATATCCTTATTATAACTGTCACTACTAAGGTTCTGATGGCTACTATTTCCATGGCTAGTCGTAGCATCCGAAAGAGCATGAGGTTCAGGCTTCTTAGTAATAGTAGCATCATGTTGTCTCCTAGGCTTCTTAGCCGTTACAGTACCACCATCACTTATCCTAGAATCTACTCTAGGTCCAGTTATATAATTTACCCTAACTGAAGGGTTCCGAAAATAAGCTTTATTCCGTTCAGACAATCCTGCCTGGGTCTTATTCATATTTGCTGAACTCATTAACCTCTGATTACTCGAATCCAAATAACTGTTCCAGGCTTTTCGAGCAGCTAAGAGGCTTTTACCATCACACACTTCGGATCCATCTTGATGCCTACACTTTTCGCCTTTTTCTTTCTTTTCTACACTTAGAAAAGCCATCTTATCTGTTACACCAACCGGCTTCTTGCTAGGACACGCATCAAGAGGCTTTACATCGTTACGGTCACATACTCGTCCTTCATCAGCGTATGCTTTCGTGATATAATTGACAAATCTCTTATCTTCCGAGCGTGCTTTAGGTAGAAACGAAAAATCCTCATGTCTCGCACGCAGACCA